AAATTCTGTATATATGTGGTGTTCCCCAATACACATATAATTTGAGCATCCCTTATCCAGAAATTTAAAATACTCCCAAAATCATTCACATGGGAGGCTGAGTTAATGGGACTTTCCGATGGTTCGACGTACACAAACTTTATTTCAAGCAAAAATTATTGTGTATAAAATTGCTTTTAGGCTAAGTGTGTAGTGTATATAAAACATCAATTAATTTTGTATTTAGAATTTGTTCCCATCTCCAGTTATATTCCAAAATCGAAAACACTTCTTGTCCCAAGCATTTCGGATAAGGAATACTCAACTTATACTGGAAAGTGTTACATATAGTAACAAAATTTAACAGTATCATTTATATGAAAAAGCAGAACTGCTTTCTGATGTTACTTTAACCTTTTGCTCCTAATGTTGGGAGGTGTTTTTCTTGAGCCAAGAGGAGAACCTCATATACCAAAAAGGTGCACTTGGCCCAGCTGGGCAAATCCATACACACCCCTGGCAAGATATTCGGGAACTCTGTACCCTAATGACACCTCTTTCTTCAGGAACTCCACACTGTCAGGTCTCTTTTATCTTTTTACTTCATTTAGTGTAGAAAGATTCACATTGTAATTTTTCAAATGTTCACTGCACCAAGCTTTTTTTTTTTGGCATATAGTTAAAAATAGAAACTTAAAAAAATAAGTGGGAAGAAATAAATTCAAATGCTCAAAACATACTGTATCTTATGCCGAAACATAATTACCTGGTTTTTTTTTAATTATTGCATACAATAGCACTGGGAACATATTTTTTAATAAAGAGGAATAAGGGCTTTTGGTGTAGCAAGAGGCACATTTTAGATCACGGAGAAGGATGACAGAGTCTTGTTACTGGATATGTAGGTAATCACCTTAATTTCCTCAACATATGGACCAATTAGCTACATTTTCAATACAAGCTGAGACTTGGCAGAAGGGAGGGGACTATAAATTTCAACATATTCAGTGTGACAGATCCAATTCCATGCTGTTGGGGAAGAGATGCTAGCTCCAGCTGGGGCTGGGTGCTATTGATGTGACCCTGGAGGCAAGGAGCAGCAGAAGGACAGGCACTTGGAGACCTGAGGCCCATCAGCCCAGCTGGGAATGGTCATTGCCAATTAATGCCTTGCCACGCGCTGCAGCAAAGGCTTCTGCAGTGGGACCACATTGCCTAGCAACAGCGCTCATGAGTTATTCCCAGGATAGATGGAATCGCTGAGGTGTATATGCATTAGGGGTGTCTGCATGGAAATCCCCAGTTGTGTGCTAACAAGATCATATTCATGCTTTTCCATCTCTTTGACCCCTCTCTGCACTCTGTCATGTAATTTAAACTACCTTATCAATTAAACGCTTTCTTGTCGAAGGCTTTAATGGCTGGAATCACTGGGTTGCTATGAGTTTTCTGGGCTGTATGGCCATGTTCCAGAAACATTATCTCCTGACGTTTTGTCCACATCTATGGCAGGCATCCTCAGAGCAAGTGAGGTTTATATATCTGTGGAATGTCCGGGGTGGGAGAAAGAACTCCTGTCTGCTTGAGGCAAGCGTGAATGTTGCAAATGGCCATTAGCATTGAATGGCCTTGCAGCTTCAAAGCCTGGATGATTCCTGCCAAGGGAGTCCTTTGTTGGGAGGTGTTAACTGGCCCTGATTGATCCTTGTCTGGAATTCCTCTGCTTTTTGAGTGTTGCTCTTTATTTACTGTCCTGATTTAAGAGTTTTTTGATACTGGTAACCAGATTTTGTTCATTTTCATGGTTTCCTCCTTTTTGTTGAAATTGTCCACATGCTTGTGGATTTCAATGGCTTCTCTGTGTAGCCTGATATGGTGGTTGTCAGAGTGGTCCAGTATTTCTGTGTTACCAAATAATATGCTATGTCCAGGTTGGTTCCTCAGGTGCTCTGCTGTGGCTGACTTCTCTGGTTGAAATAGTCTGCAGTGCCTTTCATGCTCCTTGATTCATGTTTGGGCATTTGGTGGTCCCTATGTAAACTTGTCCACAGCTGCATGGTATACGGTAGGCTTCTTAACTGTGGTGTTGGAGGAAAATTCTGAGAGTATTTTGGACCACAAGAAAATCAAACCAGCCCATCCTCCAGGAGATAAAGCCTGACTGCTCACTGGAGGGAAGGATATTAGAGGCAAAGATGAAGTACTTTAGAGATAGTTAGTAGGTAGACAGATCAATCAGGAGGACTTCTGGGAGTTACAGTCCAAGAATAGGTAGAGGGAGGGAAGATTGGCCACAGCAACGCATGACGAGTACAGCTAGTATGTACTATGTATGTATGTGTGTATGTGTGTGTGTGTGTGTGTATGGTGTGTGCATTGAGATATTATCTGTTCTTAATAGTTCAGAATCACCTGGAAATCAGTCTAGCAGCTGAAAACCAATTGCCAAGCATAAATACTTGTGGATAACATTTCTTAAAAGCTATAAAGATTATGGTTTTCCCAATTGATCATAAGCGAATAGGTCGTGACCCTAAGAAGTCATAATCCCCCATTTGGTTATGTGACCAGTGATTATCCAATAGGTTCTGTTGTTGACATTGATAATATTATAATGTAATACAATATAATATTAATACGATATTATAATTAGATACTTTATATTACATGTAATATTACTAATAATATTACACTATAATGGTATAGTACAATATAGTATTATACAATACTAATATTGTTCTATGGTAATAATATAATATATTGTATTTACATATTACTTGTAAGCTGCTCTGAGTCCCCTTGTTTGTAGAATTCCTTTCCCAGGTAGACTCACCTGCTATCATTCTGGAGACTGACAAAGACATTCTCACAGACTTTTTACAAATGTTAAACATATTGTAGTTTATTCTTTTAATTTCAGGTTCTACCGGTGTGGCAGGATGCTTTGTACTGGCTTCTATTATGTTATGAATTTCTGAGTTTATAAACAAATAAATTATGCAGCCTATTTAAACACTATGGTGCAATGTCTCCTGCATTACTATTGTCTATTCCTCATAGTTCAGAATCACATGGTGAGATGGGTGGCATATAAATATCATAACTAAATAAATGATAAATTGACATATGTGTGCCTTCCAGTCCCCCTGTTGATTTATGGCAACTGCATGGATAGAATCAAAGAATTGGAAGAGACCTCATGGGCCATCCAGTCCAACCTCCTGCCAAGAAGCAGGAAAATCGCATTCAAAGCACTCCCGACAGATAGCCACCCAGCTTCTGTTTAAAAGCCTCCAAAGAAGGAGCCTCCACCACACTCCGGGGCAGAGAGTTCCACTGCTGAACCGCTCTCACAGTCAGGAAGTTCTTCCTAATGTTCAGATGGAATCTCCTTTCTTGTAGTTTGAAGCCATTGTTCCGTGTCCTAGTCTCCAGGGAAGCAGAAAACAAGCTTGCTCCCTCCTCCATATGACTTCCTCTCTTGTATTTATACATGGCTGTCATATCTCTTCTCAGACTTCTCTTCCTCAAGCTAAACATGCCCAGCTCTTTAAGCCACCCTCATAGGGCTTGTTCTCCAGACCCTTGATCATTTTAGTTTTCCTCCTCTGGACACATTTCAACTTGTCAACATCTCTCTTCAGTTGTGGTACCCAGAATTGGACACAATATTCTGGGTGTGGTCTAACCAAGGCAGAATAGAGGGGTAGCATGACTTCCCTGGATCTAGACATTATACTCTTATTGATGCAGGCCAAAATCCCATTGCTTTTTTTGCCGCTGCATCACATTGTTGGCTCATGTTTAACTTGCTGTCTTGCTGATCTTGACTCCAAGATCTTTTTCACATGTACTGCTCTTGAGTCACACGTCCCTCATTCTTTATCTTTGCTTTTCATTTTTTCTGCCTAAATGGAGTATATTGCATTTGTCCCCACTGAACTTCATTTTGTTAGTTTTGGCCCATCTCTCTAAACTGTTCAGATCGTTCGGAATTCTGCTCTTGTCTTCTGGAGTATTGGCTCTCCCTCCCAATTTGGTGTCAAACTTGCAAACTTGATGATCATGCCTTCTAGCCCTTCATCTAAGTCAGTAATAAAGACGTTGAACAGGACCGGGCAAGGATGAAACCCTGAGGTGCTCTGCTTGTCACTTCTTTCCAGGATGAAGAGGAAGCATTGGGGAGACTCACCCTCTGGGTTCGTCCACTTAACCAATTACAGATCCACCTCACCGTAGTTTTGCCTAGCCCACACTGGACTAGTTTGTTTGCCAGAAGGTCATGGGGGACCTTGTCAAAGGCCTTACTGCAAGGTCCTCAAACTAAGGCCCGGGGGCCGAATACGGCCCTCCAAGGTCATTTACCCGGCCCTCGCTCAGGGTCAACCTAAGTCTGAAACGACTTGAAAGCACACAACAACAATCCTATCTCATCAGCCAAAAGCAGATGAGAAAAAAACCACACTTCTCATTGAAATACTAATAGGTTTATATTTGTTAAAACTGTTCTTCATTTAAATTATTGTATTGTTTTTAAGTGTGTTTTTTTTTTGCACTACAAATAAGGTACATGCAGTGTGCATAGGAATTTATTCATGCTTTATTCAAATTATAATCCGGCCCTCCAACAGTTTGAGGGACTGTGACCTGGCCCTCTGTTTAAAAAGTTTGAGGACCCCTGGCTTAGAGTGTGATAGGCTTTTCTTAGGCAAGGAATGCTCAGAGGTGGTTTGGCCAGTTCCTTCCTCTGAAATACAGCCTGGTTGGCGGTTCCCCATCCAGGCACTCACCAGGGCCGGCTCGCCTGAGCTTGCTTTTCCAGCTGGACTGGGAACAGCCAACGCTTGGAGCTGCTTTGGGGATGAAATCACTGCAGAAGGGAAGGCGGGGCGAACAGGGAGGGAGGGAGGGAGGGAGGAGAGGCGCGTGGGAGGAGGAGGAGGGAGAGCCTCGCGCCGGCTTCCCCGCCGCGTCGTCCAATCAGGGAGCCGCGTTGGGGGAAAGTGTGTACGTTTCAATCCCAACGGCTGCCAGAAGCGCGAGGGAGGGATTGAAGGAAGGAGGCGCTTCCTCCAGGAGTGCCACACTCGCGCAGGGAAGGAAAAGAGGAGCGCGCGCGCCGCAGTGCTGTCGTGTTGGGCGGCTCAGTTGGTTCTGCGGTCCTTTCAGGGCGCGGCCCACGCGCGAAGAGAGCCATTTTAACCACCTGGCTGAGAGGAGGAAGAGGAGGCTCTCCTTCCCTGCCTTCCCCCACGGAGGCCAAGCTGGGCATGAGCGAGGGCGAGGCGGGGGCCACCCCTTCTTTCGAGATGACCTGGAGCAGCACCACCAGCAGCGGCTACTGCAGCCAAGAGGACTCCGACTCCGAGCTGGAACAGTACTTCACCGCCCGGACCTCCTTCATCCGAAAGCCCCACAAGGAGAAGAAGGTGAGGCGCAGCAGCAGCAGCAACCACCCAGGCCCACATCCACCCCTCCTCTCCCTTCCTTCCCCTCAAAATATCTCCCCAAGACTGGGGTGATTATAATGCAAGATGGGTTGCTGTGAGTTTCCCGGGCTGTATGGCCATGTTCCAGAAGCATTCTCTCCTGACGTTTCGCCCACGTCTATGGCAGGCATCCTCGGAGGTTGTGAGGTCTGTTCGAAACTAGGCAAGTGAAGTTATATCCAGGGTGGGAGAAAGAACTCTCGTCTGCTTGAGGCAAGTGTGAATGTTGCAATTGGCCACCTTGATTAGCATTGAATAGCCTTGCAGCTTCAAAGCCTGGCTTTTTGCTCCCTGGGGAAATTTTTGTTGGGAGGTGTTAGCTGGCCCTGATTGATTCTTGTCTGGAATTCAACAGAAAGGAAGAAACCATGAAAAGGAACAAAATCCGGCTAGCAGTATTAAAAAAACTCTAAAATCAGGACAGTAAATAAAGAGCAATACTCAAACAACAGGGAAATTCCAGACAAGAATCAGTCAGAGCCAGCTAACACCTCCCAACAAAGGATCCCCAGGCAGCAACCAGCCAGGCTCTGAAGCTGCAAGGCCATTCAGTGCTAATCAAAGTGGCCAATTGCAATATTCACATCTGCCTCAAGATGACAAGAGTTCATTCTCTCACCCTGGACATTATTCCACATATATGTAAACCTCACTTGCCTAGTTTTCAATAGACCCTTCAACCTTGGAGGATGCCTGACATAGATGTAGGCGAAACAGCAGGAGAGATTGCTTCTGGAACTCACAGCAACCCAGGGATTAGGCCATGAAAGCCTTTCACAACATAATGGAGGATGTTGAGAGGGTAGTCCACACCAGACCTGGGGAAACTTCAGCCCTCCAGTAGGCTGTTGAGAATGGTGGGAGTTGGAGTCCAAAACAATGGAGAGCAGAAGTTGGCCCAGGCCTGGTCTACATGTTACTGGGAACTGGATTAACTCCCATGAAGAGTTAGGATATCCTTCCTGGCTGCTTAATCCCTCCATAGCCAAGATACCATACCTGCAATGTATTTCAAATCAGCTCCATTCTTTCTCTTTTCTGTATCTCGGCTTTTTCAGTAAGCAACCCTGGTGAAAATCAAAAGTAGGATGATTTACTTTATTTATTTGCTGCCTGTTTCCCACACACAGTATGGCTAACACTTTTCTTTAAAGCAGACAAAAAATGATTTCTATTTATTTACTATATTTCTATTCCATTCTATCTCACCCTTAGAGGGGACTCAGAATGGCTTATAGTTTGGCAAAATTTAATGCCAAATTATACAAAAGAAAAAAGAAATACATGACATAGTTAACTAAAAATCAATAAACATACCAGTACAAATAAAATCCATTCAACATTAAGCATAATAAAACATCATAAAATATATTGAACGTTGCACCATAGTTATAATTCTATTTCTGAGAAATAATTAAACAAGTGTAGGGATTGCTAAATAGAGTCCGTATGGTATAGCAGTTTGAGCATTTGACTATGGGTTGCTGTAGGTTTTTCGGGCCGTGTGGCCATGTTCTAGAAGCATTCTCTCCTGACATTTTGCCTGTGTCTATGGCAGGCATCCTCATTCGACTATGATTTGATACTCAAGTTTGAATCCCTGCACAGCCATGGCTCCCCACTGGATGCCCTTGGACAAGTTACATTTTCTTAAGAGGAAGGCAAACACAACCCCACAATGAAAAACCTTGCCAAGAAAGTCCTATGATGGGTTGCCATAAGTCGGAAATGACTTCAAGGCACACAGCAACAACAGGGTTAACAAGTTCCTGTTCATAAAAGCCAACTTTCACTGGAGAACAGCCTAGGAAAACAAAATTTATAAATTAATAGGAGTAATAGGCTAGAAGGATGGTTTATTTTATTTTCCATAGCCATAAAGCCAGCTTATAAATACTCTGTTTGGCTTGTCTCCTTTTTGGGGAACGATGGGGTATTTAGAATGTGGTTAAGCGTACTTGACATTTGGGGGGGGGGGGGGGGGGGGGAGGATTCACATGCACTAGCAGTTTGATAGAAGTAACTAAGTCCAAAAATAAAAGTACCAAAATAGCAGGCAGCAATAAACAAAAATGGGTAGTCTTTTTTAGATTGTTTGAACAGAGTCCAAATTGGGATAGCAAGTTCCTTTAAAAATGGGGGATTTAGATAGTAGATTTGGGAGAATTGCTGTTGCCTGGACTTCACAGAGATAGCAATGCTTTAAGCTGCTTAGGGTGGGGATGGTATGAATAAAAAGAAATGCAAGTTTCTTTGCTGGATGACTATCACCTGTCATTTTTCTTACAATTTGTTTCTGACAGTAAGCTCAAAGGGACAGTTGCTTGTGCATGCCCATTAATATCATCACACCAAAACATTAGTAGGAGACACACTTGGGGAAGGAGGCCTAACAGAAACACCAGGTGTGGGATTATGTCTTAAAAAGGAAGATTGTCTACAGCCGGAAGGCCTTAAACCACTGTGGCAGATTAGCAAACTTCATTTGAAAGGAATGAATGGTCATTTGAGGACAAAATGGAATTACTGTATGATACTTCAAAGTGATGACAAAGCGGCTGACATAACCATCACCCATGTTCATTTTACATGGGCAATCAATATTCCATTGTGTATATGGATGGGAAGATCTTCATAGCCAGCTGGTTATAAAATATTGCCTTGCTTTTGGTTTGTACATGAAAGTTCCCTAAGTGATTTCACATTACCATTACCTCTTGGTTTTCAGACTTCTCCAAAATTGGAAAGATGTTTGAAAATTAACAGTTACTGTTACATGTTAACACATATTAAAATGATATCATTTTACTTTAGTTACTTAATGCTAAAGAAGAGGCTTAGTTACCATTACTACTTAAGGGAAAAGCACATGCGCTTAAAACTGCCTAGAATGCATCTATGTAGGCATATCCCAGTTCCTGGTTGCTCAATTATGTATTATGCAGTTTTCATAACAGGTTTTGTGGCATTCAAGTTCATTCAAGGTCCTGATTTGTACAGCAGTAAAAGCTAAACACTCTAAACACCTACAAAGCCCTAAACGGTTTGGGACCATCCTACCTGCGTGGCTGTATCTCCATTTACGAACCCACGCGCTCACTTCGTTCATCCGGAGAGGCCCTGCTCATGATGCCGCCAGCGTCGCAGGCACGTTTGGTGGGGACGCGAGACAGGGCCTTTTCTGTGGTGACCCCTGACTCTGGAACACCTTCCCAAAAGATCTTAGACAGGCCCCTACATTGGTAGTCTTTAGAAAGAACTTGAAGACCTGGTTGTTCTGATGTGCCTTTCCAGAATAGGAATCTCCAATAACAAGCCCCAGAAGCACTTTATTAGAACTAAGATTGCTGCACACCGCACACTGCACTTACCCTATAATCTTTACATATCACCTGTCACATCAGCACTTTTAATCCTGTACCCATTACTCTGGCCCGGCCCAGTTTTATAATGTCTTGATGTATTGTTTATTGCTTGTTGTTTAATATTGCTTTAATTGTTTTAATTTGCTTTAGGTGTTGTATTGTTATGTTGTGTTTTGAGGCCTTGGCCTTTGTAAGCCGCATCAAGTCCTTCGGGAGATGCTAGCGGGGTACAAATAAAGTTAATAAATAAATAATGAATTTTCTCTTATTGAAATTGGAATAAAATTCTCCTGAAAAAAGTTTTTCAGAACAAATCACAATCAATGCCAGATTCGTACACAAATAGAATAAACTCTACATACATTTTATTTCTAAATCTGTTCTTTTCCCTTTCCTCTGTCATATCTGTACTCTTGACATTATTTAAGCAGAAAGTGACTGTCATAGAGGATCTCAATGTTATTACCATTATTTTGATAGGTGATGTGATGTGGCCAGTATTCCTGTGGATACATTGTAAAACTAAACCCTATAAGTTATCTGACCCAGCCTACCCCATCTCAGAATTAAGTGATGGGGTTTTGTCCACACTGCAATCATGCTGAAGTTTAGCACTTCAGTTATCCCCATGAAGAATGAATTACATGAGAGGTAAATATTCCCCTGTTAATCTTAAGCATGTATTATCAGTGATTGCCTGATTATCAGTGATTGCCTGACTATGGATTCTATTTCCTGGCAATTATAGATGTTTGGGATGTGTCGTATCACATTGTGATGTTGAAATTCACTCATTGTTGATCCATTCACTGATGATTCATGGTGCTGCCTAAGTAAAGCAGAGGGTGTCTTGTTAAAAAATCATATAAAGCAATGGTTCTCGACCTGTTTGTCCCCAGATGTTTTGGCCTGCAACTCCCAGAAATCTCAGCCAGTTGCCAGCTGTTAGGATCTCTAGGAGTTGAAGGCCAAAACATCTGAGGGTCCACAGATTGAGAACCACTGCTATAAAGACACTATGAAAATACAGAGAGACGCCATGTAAGAATGATGCTCTTTGGCTGGATTGAAGGGCAACTACAGAAGCTGCAATTCATTCAGACTTTTCTGTCTGTGTGCTACTAGATGGTCATTGCTAGGGAAGAAAAACGACTAGTTGTTACTATTGCGTGATTGGAAATAACTGAACTTGTCTGAGGAATCAAAGCAAATGTAGGTGTAAACATGCAGGTGCAAGATGGAGCCAAGGCAGTCTGGATTTGTCTGAATAATAACAGCTGTTGCAGATTTCCCTAGTGTAGGGGGTCTCAAACTTTTTTCAGCTGTGGAGCTCTTTCAGAAGCACAAGTTTGTTGTGGACCCCCAAGAGATGTTTATATATTATTCTATATATTATATAGAATGTATATATATCAGACACGGGCTAGGCCAGTGGCAGATGAATGGAAAGCGTGTGAGCTAATTTGCCCAGTTCCAAAAAAATCAACAATGAAGAACAACTTTATCCAACATAAACTTAACAGTTTTTCAGTGGAAGACCCTCAGGGCCATGTAGTCCAACTCACTTCTGCCATG